CGCTTTCGGCTAGGCTGTAGTTTATGGTCGAGTCAATTAAAAGAGTTTGAGAGATTTAAAGGTCACAGCGCCAACTTCTCACTTAATGCTAACGTACGATCGGTTTATGAGTGATTTTATTCAAAACGTGATGATTGAGTGGCTATAACAAATAAAACTGCGAGACTATAATTTGTGGACGACCCAATCAGGAATAAGATACCAGATCTCGGATTTTGGCGCGAAAGCCTTTCATCCATTTGGCTAAATAGAGTTTTGACATTATAGCTGATGTCAGTTCGTGATGAAAACCCTATATGTAATTCCTGACTAAGGCAAATTATAACAATTATTGCGAACTGGATAATAAAATTACCAGTAACACTGGATGCACCCAGGTACTACAATATATACGGATGATTGGAGAGCTTACAGATTCCTACATATACTTGGTTATGTGTATCGTGTCGTCCATAAATTACAGTCTCGCCTATTAATATGTCAGTTCGTCAAAAAATGATATATATAACGGTTAGAACTGTTTTTGGTTGTATAATAACAAATTATATAATGTTCGAAAATAGATTAATACAAACTTGCTTCAACCCGCATTTAGCAAACAATTACTATACATCCATATTCATCAACAAACTTTGGGATGATGTTTCAAATGCTAAAAGTTTTTAGAGCTCATTATTGACTTAAAAAATTTGGATATGTCCTATCTCATATTTGACTAATAGTAAATCTCACTTGTTTGAGTTTATATTGATACAAATATTCACATTAAGTTGACTTAACATTCACCCGATCGGTGAACAACAACTACGTTAGTTTACTAATTATTTGGAATAAAGGTTATGTGACAAGCACAAACAATACGAAAATCAACGTTTGATGGCGAAAATTTTGTTCATAGCTGGTAAATAGCGACACAAAAAATACTCGACCATGTGTAACATGTACGTGAGAATTCGCAGTTTCAGCTTGACGTTTTTGTCGTCACTTTCCGTGTAGTTTGTATTTCTTAAATTGTATAATAAGTTGGTGCATTCAAACGAATTCACTGTCCGATGTCCGTGACTCCAATTCTATACCAAACAACAACGATAATTTAGCTTTTAAAACCCTTTCAGAGTAATTTATTGTAAGCGACTATGACAGTTGTTCATGCAAATACTTGATGGTGAGCGAATCTCGATGTATTGTTGGATGTATAGCATATATTCAGCATATTTGTTACGAGCTTGCATCAAACGTTTTGGATTATTAGGACTTTCAGACCTCTGCGTTGTCTGCATAGATCAGTGAAGCTGAGCAGGTCGAACTTGAGATTGTCTCTCGTGAAACTACTGACGTTGAAACCTGTCAACTCCCATGCACTGTACTTATCCTGACACAAGACACCTTGTTTTCTTAACCGTTTCGGAGCCAGAATAGAATTGAGTCAGTGATACCCGTCTTTGCAACACTCTTCATGAGAAATATATGAAGTACTGTGTCAAAAGCTTTTTCAAAATCGAGGACTATTACGTAACTCGGTATCTCACGGTTAGATTTGTTGTTATGGTTGTTTATCAGGAAGGTGAAGATGTAGTTCTTATCCTTGGAAGTGTTCAAATATCTCAATGTGGTTGCGGAAAACTGGATATTTCTGATTATTTTTAAGAGATATGCGAGCTCACATTAGACTCAAGAAGCATGTGAATCAAAAGTCTGATTGTTCTTTGAAGTGTGTTTGGTGAATTTGATTCAAGAAGTAATACGTTTCCTTAAGAGCTCGGATAGGTGGATCTTATGAACAGGATTTCTGAAAAACGAAATGTATTATTTTGGACAGGCCTGGATGAACTAAGTGTTGTTGAGAAAGAAGGTAAATTACGCATTTTTGCAAAGCCATAATAAATTTATAGAGTCAAGTATGGTCGGCGATTTGTCAGTGAACGAATTATTCTCTCACCCAACGTCACACCAGGTAGACTTGTTTACATCCTTATTATCCAGTCATTAGCAACATAAAACTCTTAGCTTTTTAAATTGCTTTATCAATTTCACTAGTGATAGAGAGTGTAAATTCTGAGTGAGCCAGTAATGGAAGGATGTGGATTGCGGAAATTTTTTGTTGTAACATGCTGTTTTCCACTTTATCCTTTTATTTCTTTCCTGTCTTTCTATTAAATATTTATTTTTCATAAACTACAGATTTCACATACCTTTAGAATATTTTTTGACAATTATTTCCGCTAATCGAACTTAGAGAACCTCCTTATTCAAATCAGTGCGACAAATGTTCTATGAAAACTATTTCTTAATCATTCGTTAGTGAAAACCTAGGATATTCTAATGAACCTAAACTAAAGAGATTACTAGTATATCGTTTTCACCTATCATGATTAGAAACGCGTGAAAATGTACAGTTCAACAAATACATTCATTCTTCGGATCAGACTGTAGTGGCATTGGAACATAACGACACAATCCTCAAAGCTGAACACGAGACAACTCGGAAAGTAGATATTCAGTACTTAAAGCGGAGAAATATCGAACGATGGAGAAGGCGGGAAGAATGTGTTGAATGAATTGAAGTTGATTGAATGGCATGGCTCGGCCATACAGACGTGGTCCCTGCTGAATGTTACCTTATATCTTTTCTTCATATTAAATATATTACTCTGTCTCCAGCCTAAGCTTGCTCTCCACCATGTATTGGTAGTTGTTATGATACAGTGAGTTGGTGTAGGCGATGATGTGACTTCCACGTAAGATCATATAGATTAGGCAGTTATACCATGACAAATCTATTATTAGAGCAGCACTAATATCATAGTAGACCATAACTCTACAGGACTATCAGAAATTTTACACTGCAGCTCCAGACACAAGATTCTAGGTGTGGTTTCAGTAAGCGGCTACACGCTCAACTTCGTGACTGTCTGATTGCTGGTATAAATGATTGTAATTAAGGTATGCAGCTTATACAAATCCTTTTGTGAACTTTTAAGATGGCTGAGCACTCCTGTTTTGCCCATAAAAGTGTCAATAATCATTTTAGTCATGCCGCTGCGAAACAACATGAAGTTTTGTGAATGAACGTGAATAAATTCTTTATACTCCAGAAACCTCGGAATTCTGGAGGGAATAGTACCGACTTTTGTTCAGACATACAAATAGTTTGAAAAGTGCTTTCATTCGTCTTCAGGTATCAATATGTTCTTCATGTAGTATGCTTCATCTTTCTAATTCACGTCAGTTTCGTCATGGAAGCTGCCGTAACTATGAAAAGGATGGACATATGTGCAAAGTTCGTCAGAGATCCAAGTCATTTACCAATGAGACACTGAATCATGGTGGATTAAGACTAACTGATTTAGAAAAAATAATGAATTATCTGTCGCTCACTATTGATTTCAGAAGTACTTCATATTTGATTTAAAAATCAATTGCTAACACAAGTAAGTCCCGTTCATGTTTTGCTGATACAAGTAGCATAAATTCAATTATTTTAGGAGGAATTTAACGTCTCTTTTAATGATGTTAAATTAAAGCTCACAAGTAATGTAATCATTTGAATCGCTAGTCATCAGTTTACGATTATTGGCACAGTTAGCATTCCATTGAGGCACGAAGAGGGGAGTGAATTTATTATTTATTTCCTAGTTGGCGACTATGGCTCGTCTGTGCTTGGTCTAATTGGCCTAAGATTGCTAATCGTACATATTTCCTTATAACTAATGGTTCTAAAGGTGCTTTATTCAGATATCTGTCCTCACAATACTGTAAGGCCGTGGGAGATATTAAAATTCACGCAATACTTTTATAAGTAAAGGAACAGCCCATATGGTCCACAATAGGTTGTGAAGAATAAGCAATGTAAACTGTTTGAAAACGGGAAGTAAATGTCGTATTGTGCTACTTGATTATTCGTCTGTACCTGCTTACGCGCTGGTTAGGAATTTCAAAGGCACTACGTTCGTTTATGATCATCCAGTTCTGTCTGGCCTAAAAAGCACTATCCCCGAAATTCTTGGCATTTTAATACTGTAGGGCCAGTGAAATGTCACTAAGCCCCAGCCAAATCATCCGGCAGTTGGGTCATTGAATATCGAGCAAATCATCGATCCTCGTAAATGTCAGGGACAACCAACGCGTATCAAATGATCGTATACCATGGACTGGCCCATGCAACAGTGGTCTTAATTTTGCTTGTACCTACTTTAAGTAATATATTTCTGTATTAACGTCCTCTGTGTTGTACAGTCTTCAAAGCATCTATGGTACCTTGATACGTCAATGGGGTAGTTCACGTAAAGCGCTGACCACGAGGTGTGACTTCGACGTTAGCTAGTTTGTCAAACCATTCACGTCTAACTCGAGTAGGCATCCAATCATTTCAACATAGATCATCTACGTTGGTGATCTACAATAGGAATACTTCTAATCATCATAAACAATATCATTTAAATCGTCCGGTTAGGTTACCTCTTTCATGATTCTATTAAAGAATACTGAAAAAACACAAAAAAGTTTGTGGTCAACACTCAGCTATCATAACGTAGTTGTACTACTCAAGAAACTGAACAAGGATATTGCATTGGCAATAAACAGACTGCACAAACACTTGCTTGTCGTAAAATTGGATAATCTAACTGATTACCGAGCACTGTAGCCTGTGTACCACTCAACTAAATCATTTCATTCATCATCTGCTGCCATGGTTCAAAGAGGGAACATAAACATGAGTGCTTATAGTTTCACCGTTGAACAAAAAGTAGCTAAAATCAAGATTAAGAAGCCGCAAATAGGCTGGTTTCTTGCACTTATTATTTGAAGTGGAAAGAAAGATTGAGTAAACTGAACTTTTCCCTCTAACAATTTATAGGGATTGTATGTAGCTTAATCACCGTTTCAAATTACTTAGTAACAAATTTGTCTTTCAGAAAAAACAGATACAATGCATAAATTTTATAAACTCAGAATCAAGATTACAAGTTGTTTTTTCTATTCGATACCTATAACTTCAAAGGACGTATTTTTGGCGAACTTATGAGTATAGATGATGTTGACCTTGGTAACCGTTAGTCATACAAAACAACCTACAAGTTAGCTTGTGCTATGATTGGGTGTAAGTCCTATCAGTTTTCATCATTTTAAGCAATTTATAGTGTTTTAATTGATGAATCAAGAGACTTGGGACAGTGAGCTTGCTTCAAGATACCCTTTAAAACATTTGTATTTAATTCAACTATTATTCCAGACAGTAATGTAAAGACGATATCAAAATTTCACAGAGCTTTAGCTGGTTATTATAAAAGTCATATGTTACGATTTCTTGGTTTTTTAGCATTTTAGATGTAAATTTTGAATTAGTAGAATTTAACTAATGTATAAGGACGAGCTAATTGGATTTTTAGTCAAGACTCTGGAATTTTCGCACCAAATATACTCTTCATTCCGTCTCAGTGTCATTACTGCGTCATAGCTCATGTGATTGCTCGATTAAATCCATATTACTTATCTTTATTCCTGGCTCTTTTCTCTAATTCCTAATCTTCATTCCTAACGTTTCACATCAGATCTGTTTTGATCTACGTAAGTCGTTTATATCTCGTAAAATCACCCTTGGAATCGCTGACAATCGTTCTTATAACTAAGCTTTTCTTTAGGCACTCATCAATGTCACCACTGTAATAGTACTACAAACATTACATGCATAGTCTAAATAATGAATCATGCAAGACTAAGAAATTCAGTGTCCATAATTTTCCTCAAATTATCCTTAATAAACATTTGAAAAGAATGTTGAAACTGATGCGAAACTTTTAATGAGTGACCCTTATGGGAGAATTCTTATTTTTAAATCCTATGAAATTTCATGAAACTGTATTCATACTCAAAGTATTCAAACTTCACAAGATGCTATAGTACACAATCAACCTGCTACTCAGAAACAACGCACATGATTTGTTAACATAAAAGATCTTTCACTACATTAATTTAAAGTCATTATCAAATTGAATAATTTTTATGTTACCAGAGTTTAGAAAAACTCTAGTATTTTTACTTCAGAAGGAGTTCTTTACACGGAATCGGGTTTGGAAATCGACAGGATTAAATTGGCTTCAACGATTACACAAAGTTTGCAAACCCAATATCTATAGTCTCAGTTTCGTCTATAAGCAATGATATGCTGTTATGTTTTTCCCATCTCTATACATAACGAACAGGTAGATTGATTTTCACCTGGCGCTTTTTGAAAAAGCAATCTTCATGAGTTTTTGTGGTATTGGAATTGAGTCATTTAGCCTTAACTTTTTATTTCCCCGTGACTAATTTGTTCGAAATTTTTAGTGAATGTAATTTAAAAGCCACCATAAGTACACTGTTAGATTGGTATCTTACCATTACACAGTTAATAATATCGACAAAATAAACGCAAATATTTATTTGTTGTTACACGTTAGTTGGCTCTTGTTGGAACGTAGCGGATTAAGTGTTCAATATAAAAACAGCTGCAGAATATATTTTAGTTGCTCATAGAGTCTTCACAGTTTTTGATAATAGTCTATGAAGCTCTTTTGCCAGAATTTGTAGACTTTCCTAGTGCTTTTCATCCCCGAGTAACCAGTGATTTTAGCACGTAGAGTTTATTTCTTCCCTCAGTTCAGTTACATAGTAAAGTAAATTCAAATCGTTCACTTTTGAATTACTCTTTCACTATTTCAAATTCCTATGACTTGAACCAAGCCAAAAAATATATAGAAGAAACAGTCTATCGTAACCAGTTCATAATATTTTGAATACTAGCAGTTTACGCTTAGTGTGTAAAGAAGTCTTAATAGATACCAAAGACGATAAATTAATTATTTTTTTAATAAAAAGATACAGTGTAATAAACTTCAGGAAGTATGCTAAGGAAACTGTCTGGAAACAAGATTTCTAGAGTTCTTATTGAAGTTCAAACATTGAATAAATTTTTAATATTTCTTTGGATAAGTAGCTCGGGTTTTCGTCCTTAATAAATTATGACGTTTCATAATTATAACCATTTTTGAATAATAGACGAGTGCATCGCCTACGCTGCAGGTGATTTGAGTTAGCACATGCCAATCAGTCTTTCTAAATCCAGATTGAGACTTCGTCGGACATCAGGACCGATTAAACCTTTAGGATGAAAGAGACGGTTGACGCACTTCATTGCTATACTCCTCATCAAGAGCTAAGGTAGCCTAACCATGAAGCAACATTTGGAATTTATAGTAAGGAAATCACATATACTAGTTGCTTTAGAATTAGTGTTGTTGATTAAAGCGTGCACAGTCATTGTTACCATGAAGTATGAACAAAGGGGTTTGTTTTCTTTTCTTTTATTGTGTTTAATTCATTATTGTCAATAAACATAAAATCAAAGTTTATGTCAACCAAATTTATCAAGGGAAGTAACTTGTACCCAACTAAGCTGATTTCTTTAAATAATCAAGCTTTCGTTAATTTTATTAAATGCTTCTATGTAATAACTTGTATCTATGATGGGTTTAGTACAAAATCATAATGAAAGCGCTTTGATGAAAGCGCTGTCTTATTGTCATGGCTGGACATAATTGATTTTGAGCTGTTTAGTAGAATTATTTCATTTTTGAGGACATATTTCGTTCAAAATGTACGAAATGTTTTGTCTTTAACAGACTTATTTCGCCTATTTTACCTAAGTGACCTCTTAACCATCATTGTGAATTGTGTACATTACTATCTAATTTGAAACATGACAACCCTTGTAGATTGATCTTTTATTAACTTCTGTTCTAAGATAAGTATGATTACAATGAATTACATAATACGAGAGATTCATAGAAAATCTTCAGTTGGACAGCATACTCATTTCTATAGTACTGTGCTAATCGGATATAAAAGACACTTAAAATATATCCTGACTCTAATGACACCATTATAGATTAAGTGAGTAATATTCGTAACCTGCTCAGTATAAATGTATATCTAACGAAATTCATCAAGAAACATATGAATAAGATATAAAGAAGACCAAATGTATCCATCGTTTCAAATAGAGTACTGTTCCTAAAATTACAATTCTTAGGTGATAATACAAAGGGAAGTTGTAGCTTAAAAGTTATGAAGTGAAGTGTGGAAGACATTTACTTTAGTCAAACTGAATGCAGTTTTCTATAACCACTTGATAATAAAAACCATTAATAAAGACAAGCTCCTTGACACAACTTATACCATATACAGTTTTGTCAGTCAGTCAGCTACAACGTAGGACCAGGCGCATATGTGCATCGGTCCAGGTTGCCATACCGCATCAGCACAACAAGATGAACACCGGATTCATAGCAGTGGTTAGGTCAAAGGTGGTAATATATAGGAGAAAGATTGCATATAGAGATATAGTACAAGAAGAAAAAATTGGTTCATAGAAAGAAAGATACGAAGCGATTTTAATCTCTTAGTTTAAGGGAAGACAGGTAGTGTATACACCGACGCCATTATGATCGATTCTGAGCCATGTCACCACGAGTCTCCAACCGTTGGTTACGATAGTCACGCGGACCCCAACCAAATAGTCTGCATCTACCAACATGGCTCAGACTACAAGTTAGTAACTTCAAGCACTGATGCCACGTTTTGGTTTGGCCGCCCCTACCTTTCTTCCAACCATTTCCAATACCGGATAGCATTGCACGTCGTGGTAATCAGTGTTCAGGCATACGTAACACGTGGCCCAACCATCTCAGTCGATGAAGATTCATAACCTCATCAACTGATTTGCCGTCATCATTTCCTAATACCCTGCGTCTAACCTCACTATTACTTACCCGGTGATACCAGCATATGCAAGCAATATTTCTAAGGCATCTGTGGTCAAATACTAAAAGCTTACGAGTGTCTTCTACTCCTAATGGCCATGTTTCGCTGCCGTAAATTAAAACAGAATGGACTGCTGCGCAGTATACTCGTCCTTTTATTGATAGACGGATATCTCGCCTTCGCCAAAGGTGACGTAAGTTGGCAAAAGCCAAACGAGCTTTTCGAATCCGTGCTGAGATTTCGTCCGATACCAACCCATTAGGGCTGATCAGACTTCCAAGATAAGTGAAGTTGTCAACGCGTTCGACTACTTCACTCCCTATCCTTAGTTCAGGTGTTAACGCAGACCAGTCCTGAAGCAACAACTTGCATTTAGAGGGAGAGAAGCGCATTCCAAACATCCTGGCATTATTGCTCAGTGCTACCAGAAGACTCTGCATTCTATCAGCGTCTTCACCAAACAGGACTATGTCATCTGCGTATTCTAAGTCGATAAGTGGACCCCCTGGATGGAGATCAATACCCGAGAACTCAGTTGACGAGAAAGTTATTTCCATCAGTAGATCTATGATGAAGTTAAACAAAAATGGGGAAAGTGGACATTCTTGACGGACACCACTTGAGGTTGCAAAAGTAGATGACAGTTCGCCATAAGCCCTGACTCGATTAGTAGTGTTCGAGTAAAGAGCCTTTACAAGGTTTATGTACTTCTGGGGTACGCCTTTCAATGACAGTTACTGCCGCAGAATCTCGCGGTCTACAGAGTCAAATGCTGCTTTTAAGTCAAGAAAGACCACCATTGTCGGACGCCGATAAGTATGCCTGTGTTCTAGAATCTGACGAATGGTGAATATGTGGTCGATGTAGCCACGACCAGGTCTGAAACCAGCTTGATTCTCTCGTGTTTGCAGTTCACGAGTCTTAGTTAGGCGTCTGATAATTATTAAGGCTAGTATTTTAGATATTATATTAGTTAAACTAGTCCCTCTGTGGTTGTCACAGGATGATTTTGACCCTTTTCTTATACAGTTTTGTAGGTTTTGTAAGAACAATCAGACGTTTCAATTTAATCAATAAAAAACTCTTCAAATAAAGTTGATGATACACGATGTCAAACTATTTAAGGTTTTGTAGAATCTACTTAAATAAGTGTTTTAAACTAGTTATTTTGCATATGTGAATATTTCAGTATTATGATATTTATTTATAGTTACATATTGTGCAAGGTATTTGTTGTGAATTCAAGGCCGGCTAGTTATCATGTGATTTATTTGCTAATTGAAATACGACTTATTCACTCTTGTACTGTACTAAACCAATGACTTTCGGCCGGTCTGATCAGTCTAGCGTCCTTATTGGTTCCTCACTCGCTTAACCTGTCCAGTTGAGTCCAGAACACCACTAAGAGCTTCCACTATGCGAATCATTTATTTCAAACATACTTGGTTTATATACAAGCCAAACAGATTGCATCACACCATAAAATAGGAAATAACATTTATACAAAATCAAGCCAAAAAGTGACTGTAAAGGTGGGAGAATGTAATCAATAAACTGGGTACAAATTAAGAACGGTAAATCGTACAATAATAATCTATAAGTCAAAGTGAAGCTTATAATATGAAGAATATAGATGTACACAGTCTAGTTACTGAATAGTTGTACAATAAGAGTTTATATACATAACATTAATCCATTAATAGTTCTCAGAAGTCACTCGTAATTTGATCTTCACTAGGTTATAACAGTATAGCATAATCATATAGTTCTGTCTAAACAATAGGACTTGTCCAATTTCCTAGATTAATGAAGAAGAAAAACCTAATGTTTTGTGATTAATTATCTTTCTATACATGTTTAAAATCAATAAAGTTAAGGATTGGCTATAGTAATGGTAAAAACTTATGTGATCAATAATATAAGAAATAGATCACTTTAGTTCGCATATGACAATGGGAAGATATAAATAAACAATACCAAGTGAATTTAAACTTCACCTCATTGTACAAGCAAGTGGTTATCAAGATTCAGTAGCTAAGTGGATAATGCGCTGGTGTTTGAAGCGAACGGTATTGGGTTCTAGTCCTTGAGTATATATCAACTCCGAGATGAAAGTACATGACGAGTTGCAAATAGAACGAAATGCGTGTCTTGGTTTCCACTGTTAGCCAGTATCCATCTTTGCTTATAAAGCTTGTAACTTAAGGGTACATCGAGGGAATCCACACAGGATGCACTTATGCCAATAACAGACTGATAAATTGCAGTCCTAAATAACAATGGGAAGTTCCAAGTAAACAACACCAAGTGAATTTAAACCATATTATTAATTTTCTCATTGCGATTAAGGGATGTTATTGATTCATATCTTTTGATATCTGTGAGTTCAGTGCACATTGCC